GTCGCAAGTTTTGAGGGAGCGTGCAATTGGCATGCTGACTGCAGGAATGTCCACCAGAGCTGTTGCCCGTGAATTGTATGTTCATTGCTCTACCATAAGCCTTAGAATTTGGCAGTACATCCAACCGGCCTCACAAGACCACGTGTAACCACACCAGCCCAGGACCTCCACATCCAGCATCTTCACCTCCAAGATCGTCTGAGACCGATATATTGTATGTTCACATATCCATACAACAAAATTAAATTTTTGTGAAAAACTGATGATCAAACTTCTTTAGAAAATGCTGGTGGGGAAAGAATTAAGACGTTTTGTGACTTAAAATTCAGTTTTATTATATTTATTAATATTTTACCTTTTTATGTGGATATATGCATTCAAATATATTTTATAGTTCTCGCAGATTTATTTTTCATTGTTTAGCCCAGCAGAGTCGTTCTGCATTTGAAGTTCATGTTTGTTTGTTTTTACAGCTGTAGAACAAAATGAGAGTCTAATATGCAAGTACAGACAGGACACTGAGAAGAAGGCTGTAAAAAATACATAGAGTGCAAATTACACATTTAGTGTAGTTCCTCTTCACAGAGCAGTGTAATGATAATAGGGGAGTTTAAAGTCAGCAGACCAACAGGGAAGAATTCTTCTGGGTCTGGAGCTGATAGCTTTGTACTACACAATGTATCTTTTGAGGTTTTAGAAACGCAAAGTGTTCAGAAGAGTGTGGAATAAGTCACCTTATATCCTTGAATAAGCTTTATACTGTGTCTTAACCAAATGTGACATGATAATAGAATATGCAATGAAAGATTTTACATGTAAACTTGAGCTTTTGTACTTCTACGTTTAAGAAAATCACTGCTTTTGACTGAATAACCTTTGTAGCTTTATAACAGCTTTTAACAGTCTATATTTAATTTGTATAGTGAAGACTATGCAGTGGTTTCTTTTACATTTTATTATTTAATTTCTGTATAGGCTATTTCCTACCTAAATAATTCTGTTAGTAGACCTTCCTGATAAACTTAAAGCACTGTTTATTTCATTTGCATGTTTGTTCTATTGTATTTATTCATGAAATTTGCTTGTCATTTATTTCTTATTTTGTTATTGGCTGTTTACTTGTCTTTAATGATGTTTGAGCTTTATATTTGGTGGGCTAGTATTAGTTTTTGCTGCAGTATCTTAAAAATTTGAATCAAACGAGAGATGTAAAATTTCACTGGTATTATAACATATTTTAATTACAATTAATAAAACTTTAAAATAATAATAATAATAATTTTGTGGTTGTATTGATAGGTGCGAACATTTCCGAGCATTGCTGAATGAGACAGATGAAGAGACCATAGAGATTCATCAGTTTTCTTATCTGGTGTATCGTGCATTCCTGGAGTACTTGTATACTGATACCATCAACCTCCCACCTGAGGATGCCATTGGTAAACCACACCCTTCATTATGACTGCTAGATCATGGTCATACATCCATGATCTGAATTACACTGATTTATTTGTTTAAATCCACAAATACATACCGGTTTGACATGCTTTTAGATGGAGTCCAACATGACACAGTGAAAAACTTGTTAAAGGTTTAGTTCACCCAAAAATGAAAATTGTCATTAATTACTCACCCTCATGTCATTCCAAACCCACAAGACCTTCGTTCATCTTCGTAACACAAATGAAGATATTTTTGATGAAATCAAGAGAGCTCTTTGACTCTCCATAAACAGCAATGCAACTGCAATGTTCCCAGGTCCAGAAATCGGTAAAATAGTCCATGTGACATCAGTGGTTCAACCGTAATTTTACGAAGCTACGAGAATACTTTCTGTGTGAAAAAAAGCCCCCAATAATAACATAATTTATTCAACAATTCTTCTCCCCGAGTTACCGTCTTCTGCCAGTTTGGAGAGTACACCAAAACGTAATAAATGTAATCAGCGTTTATCATCAAAAGTATTCTCATAGCTTCATAAAATTACAGTTGAACCACTGATGTCACATGGACTATTTTACCGATTTCCTTGCTACGTTTCTGGATCTGGGAACATTGCAGTTGTGTTGCTGTCTATGGGAGGGTCAGAGAGCTCTCAGATTTCATCAAAAATATCTTAATTCGTGTTCCGAAGATGAACGAAGGTCTTACGGGTTTGGAACGACATGAGGGTGAGTAATTAATGACAGAATTTTCATTTTTGGGTGAACTAACCCTTTAACTACACCATATAGCAGCATTTTTTTGTTCAAATATCTGACTGATGTTGTTTGGTGTTTATGATCCTATGATCGTTGCATTGTAAAGGTCTGCTGGATTTGGCCACGTACTACCGTGAGAGCCGTCTGAAAAGGCTGTGTCAGGAGACCATCAAGAGAGGCATCACAGAGGAGAACGCTATAACACTGCTCTCAGCTGCTGTCAAGTATGAAGCCCGGGTGAGTGTGCACACTCACACCTTCAGTCATACATCCATTCAGTTAAATACAGGTCCTGTTCCAAATGTTAGTGAGATAAACATTAACATGTTACTAAGCTTAGATCACCATACTCAAAATGTCCAAAGACGACGTGAAATACACAAGAGACTCGACAAACATTTTGCTAAGCTAACATCTTAATACACTAATAAAAAATACAAAGAACACATTAACAATTCATTCAAAATATTTTGATGTTAGTGTACTGCTAAGCTAACAACAAATACTCTAAAAAGCACACTGGGATAAATTGATGTTATCTTATTGCTAAAGTACAATACAGTTTGATGTTAGCCAACAACTTCATAATCTAAGCACAAATATTTGGTGAAATAGCTTAAATGAAGCACACAGCAGACAACTAACATTCATAGTTGATCCAGTGGATTTTGATGTTAGCGTATTGCTAAGTTAGAGGCTTTATACACTAAGAAAGAAAAGAATTGAGAACACAAATATTGTTTGAAATAGCTCATTTGCTAATGACTTTATACTCTAATAAACAAAAAAACAAACACAAATATGGGTTAAAATAGCTGACTTCAAGAAGACTTGACTAACATTCACAGTTTGATGTTAGCATATTGTTAAGCTATGACTAAGTACTCAGACATTGTTTTCATACCAACTACGGGGCCAGATTCATGAAACATTCTTAAGAAAACTGTTTTTTTTTTACCTGCTATTTTCTGCTTATGATTATTATGTTAATCTGCATGCAGCAAAAAATATGGCTTATAGGGCGTTTTCCATTGAGTTGATCAGCGAATCCTACAGTTAGATAACACTAAAGCTTGCAATTTAATTCCTAAGAGAAAAAAAATAAGATTAAATAAATATTTGAGAACAAGAATTTTTATAGATTTGTACTTATAAACATTCTTACGAACTTAGAATTTATACTAAGAAACTTCTTAAGAAGTTTTTTGTGAATCTGGCCCCAGAAAACCAAAAGAAGTGACCTCCGACTTTAAACAAATTTGGGTCCACTTCAAAGGATCAAGTGTGACATCTACCCCAAGATAGCACCATACAATTATAACTAAAGATAGCACATACAGTATACAATGTCTAAAAATGCTGTCTAGGTAGGCAGCTCACTAGGTTTTGGAACAGAGCCCTAAACATGTACATATATTTGCGGTTTCATATATTATTCTGTAGGTCTTTGGTGGTGGTTCTCTTTCTCGTTGAATCAGTCCATCCACTCTTCATGTGCAGGATCTGGAAGAGTTCTGTTTCAAGTTTTGCGTTAACCACCTGACGGCTGTCACTCAGACGCAGGCCTTCGCCGACATGGACCACGATCTGCTGAAGAACTTCATCAGCAAAGCCAGCCGCCACGGAGCATTCAAGAACTAACAAAAAGATATTGGCTGAGGAGGTATTTTGCTTTGGCTCTGCCACATCCAGGCAAGTTATCTCTAATACCTCAGATTTGGGGAGAGAGGAGCCAAATTCATGTAGTTTGACTGAAGAAGTGGTAAAAGCCACAGCACTGGTTGTCTTCTGGGTCCCAGTGCCTTTAAATGACATCCCCATCTGAAGCCTGATCTGATAGATCTATGTAAATGGAAGAATTCAAGACTGGATTCAAAGGGACCAGAAGAGTCTCAAAAGATTGTATTGAAATACAGTAGCTAAACGAAAAGAAACCTCTGAGGTGCTTTATGAGCAAGGGATTCATCTGTGCATAAGCAAAAGGGAAGATCATCTCCTGTAGGAGATGGTTGATGGGAGAAAGAGTTGCTTTTCTGTTACTGAATTATTATTTTGGATCAAGATCACAATCATTTGCAACATATTTCCAGTCCTTAAATATGTAATAGATTGGAAAGTTACAGTCAGCCAAACAAGTTGTCCATCTCAAATCCATCTATCATTGTCATCATGATGGCCTTTATAAAGCAGGCCAACAGCTGTACCTCCTGTGGGAGGTTACCTGTGTCATAGGATATCATGTTTTTTTTCCTGGTATTAGAAGAAACTTTACACAGTAATATGTCTTTATAGTGGTATAGTATTATTTTTAAATGTAGTATTAAGTGGCTCCAATTTAATTTACTGATCCAACTAATGTCGTTTATGTTGTTTTTTTTTTTTTACTGACAGTAATGTTACTTTTTATATGTTTGCGCTCTTTCTGTGTAACAGTATTATTTTGAATATGTCAGAAGGGTCAATGTGTGTGATTTTGTCAAGTCATATTTTTACAAGCACTAACACAAGTGTCAGGGTGAAATCTCTCAAAAACTGTCAAGGAACTGTGCGGACCATATTTCAGCCCAAAATGAAAAAAAAAAACAGGAAATTATATTTTGCTTAAGAAAAACACACACACATCAAAATATAAAATTTATTTTAGCAAGATGTTATTAATTTATTTTTGTGTGTGTGTTTTTTTTTATTTATTTGGACTGAAGTATGAGTCCGATATTTCTTCATGACATTTACAGGTTATGCAGCTGGGAAATAGTGCCGTCTGGTGGTGTTGCCCATATTACCCATAAACTAACCATGTGCCCATATTATGTCATTCATTCATTTTCCATTGACGATAAAGACTTTCTTTTACCCACAGTCAATCACAGATATTTTTATCACTCATTATAGCGTCAACCAATCAAACTAATCTTGAAATAGCACTTGAAACAGCAAGCATATAAACATATATAATTCAAGTGTTTACAGTAGGTTAAGAGGTGTTAAGCAAACACAACCTGACACAATCAAGAGAGAGCTTTCACGCTCTCTCACAGGTCACAATGTCTTCTTGATTCTTGATGGTCAGTTGTCACAGTCTGTTTATACTTGTTTACACCGTCAGGGGTTTCTGTTGGGTTGTAGATATTTCTACATGATTTCCTTCTTTTGTAACCCCATAAATGAGGGTCAGGATCGCTAACCCTGCCCGATTGCCAAGATAGGGTTGTTAATTATTCCCCAGTGGTCATGTTATGAATGGGGACTTAAATAATTTGACACTTGAATAATCTCTGTTTTAAGATGATACCAAACTTACTGTTTTCATTTAAGCAAGTGTCATACAGCACTTTGAATATTAAAATAAATATCCTATATGATAAGTTATTGTGTTTTGGAAAAGTTATTATTACAAATATAACATTGCAATATACTGCGCTTGTTTTTTTTCCACATAAATTTTTTCCTCACTTTTTTTTTTTGTAATAAAGTATGAATTTGTTATTATGCATCATGTACCTATATATAATTTATTTTAATACATTTGATTTCGTTTTTTGAACTTTTTTTTACAGTCTATGGTGTAAACAGGCATTGATAGTTGGGCATGTTGTCACATTATATATTTAAAATCTTAAATAGCCTACTATTTAAAATGCAAAACGTATATATACTGTATAGATCAGATCAGATGGTCACTGCAGTCACCCGAATCCAGTACGTATCCAGCCCAGATGGTGGATCAGGACCTAGAGAGGACCTCTAACAGCCCTGAATGTCAGCGGAGACCAAGACAACTAGATGAGCCCCAGAGACAGATCCCCAGTAAAGACCTTGTCTCCTAGACGGCCACCGGGACAAGACCACAGGAGCCAGTTGAGTCCTCTGCACAATGTGACTTTGCTGCAGCCTGGAATTGAACTGCTGGTTCGTCTGGCCAGAAGAGAACTGGCCCCCTGACTGAGCCTGGTCTCTCCCAAGGTTTTTTCTCCATTCTGTCACCGATGGAGTTTTGGTTCCTTGCCGCTGTCGCCTCTGGCTTGCTTAGTTGGGGACACTTAATTTCCAGCGATATCATCGACTTGATTGCACAGATACTATTTAAACTGAACTGAGCTGGATGATGACATCACTGAATTCAATGATGAACTGCCTTTGACTGAAAATTGAGTGTTTACTATTGCCATTTTGCATTATTGACACACTATTTTCCTAATTAATGCTGTACAGTTGCTTTGACACAATCTGTATTGTTAAAAGCACTATATTAATAAAGGTGACTTGACTTGACTATAGGTTAGATGCCTTACTGAATTCGTGAGGGATAGACTGTAAGTAAGGTTGTGTATTATTCACAACTCATAACTTTTTTTTTAATCTAGTTTTTGTCTGCTGAAAGTCTTTTCAGAAAGTTTAGTCACAATAATAATAATAATAAAACAAATCGGTATGTTGTTAAATAATAATACAATTTATTACTACTGCATTTCTATGCCTTCACAGCCTCGTTTTCATTCTTGTCATATAGAAACCCTGATACCTTTGCCATTGCTATAGCCCTTGGGACTTAAAATTATGTCCAATTTGCTGCTGTGAGACAGTGTGTGCTTATCTGCCTATGAGTGGCGCTCTATGCGCATTTAACACACAGGTTGTGTTTTAAAACCTTGTGAGCTGCCTACCTAGACAGCATTTTGGGGACCACAAGCGCCTTTCGAAACAACATTTTTTGAATATCATAGATGTACCTAGCATTTTGTCCAAAACGCTGCTGAACTGCAACGATAACTGACCGAAATCAACGGAATGATGCACTAAAATGTTGTCTAGCTAGGGAACTCGCTGTGTTTTTTGGGACACAGCCATATTTGGTCACTTCATTTCTCACCATTCATTCCTGCGATCAGCGTCCTGTAGTGCGCGTCTGGCTCTCTTCTCATCCTCTCCGCCTGATTTTTCACTCGTCTTGAGGATGCTGTGCGGAATCAAACACTCATTCGTCTTCTGCATCAGTCGTGCAGCGTTTCCTCGCGGATGCTGAATATCAGGTAAGACTGTGTGTGTGTGTGTGTGTGTGTGTGTGTGTGTGTGTGTGTGTGTGTGTGTGT